GGTGCGGGGGTCGGGTGGGTGGGTTTCTCGAGGCCTTTCAGAACTCAACGGGCTCTGTACATTATATGTATAGACACATTTACGTACATACATACATACATACATCCATCCATACATACATACATACATACACACACATACATACATACATACATACAGACAGACAGACAGACAGACAGACAGACAGACAGACAGACAGACAGACAGACAGACATACAAGCATACATACATACATTCATACATGCATGCATGCATACATACATACATACATGCATACATACACACTGACAGGCAGACATACAGACAGACAGGCAGACATACAGACAGACAGACAGACAGGCATACCTACATACATGCATCGATATATATATATATATAGATACCTGCATACACACATACACACATACACACATACATACACATACATACACACATACATACATACATACATACATACATACAAACATACATACATACAAATACATACATACATACGTACATGCATGCATGCATGCATACATACATACATACCATGCATTCACGCATGCATGTATGTGTGTGTGCATGCATGCATGCATGTATGCATGCATGCATGCATGCATACATACACACATACATACAGACAGACAGACAGACAGACAGGCAGACAGACAGGCAGACAGACATACAGACATACATACATTCATCGATATCTATAGATACCGGCATACACACATACACACATACATGCACACATACATACACACATACATACATACATACATACATGCATGCATGCATGCATGCATGCATGCATGCATACACACATACATACATACACACATACATACATACATACATACAGACAGACAGACAGACAGACATACATACGTACGCACGTACATACATGCATACAAACAACCATATCTGCATGCATGCATGCATACATACATGCAATTGTGTATACACATGTGTATATGTATGTGCAAATATATAATATTCCTTCTTGCACGCACTGATCGGGGCGCTGTAGCAGATGATGGTGGGTTCCAGCTGCGCAGCCAGCATTTCGCTGTGCACGCTCGTCTCGCACGTGCTGATCGGGGTGCTGTTGCAGATGGGGGTGGCTTCCAGCTTCAAATCTCGCTGAGCAGCGCCAGGGCTGGCTGCCACTGCCCGTGCCTGTCCTCCTCGCAAGCGCTGATCGGGGTGCTGGAGCAGACGGTGGGCCAAAGCTCCACACCCAGCGTCTCCTGAGCCCGCCAGCGGCGACCCAGAGGCCGCCCCGACGCCGGCCAGCACGCCGTCCGCCGCCGCCACCCTTCGGCGGGGAGCCAGCAGTGGCAGCGGCAGCCGCGGCGGCGGCAGAAGCAGCGGCCAAGGCGGGCCCATCATCAGCGGGGAGGAAGGCCGTGTCGGCCGCGATGCCAGCCGCGGCGGCCGTGGCCGGCGGCCCGCGATGCGGCCGCGGCGGCGCCGGCGGCGGCGGCCGAGTCGGGGCCAGCACCCGCAGCAGCAATGCCCAGACGGGCAGCAACCGCGGCGCCCAGGCGCCTGCACGCCGCCGCCGTCCGCGGCCAGGCCGTAACGGCAGCGGCACCGGCCGCTGGCGCGGCAAGCCCCGCAGTGCACGCCAGAGCCGCGGCGGCCAGCCAGAGGCCGACGGCCGCCGCCGCCTCGCAGGCGGCCGCGGCATCGGCGCAGGCGGCAGCCGCGCCGGAGCGCAGCGGCCCGGCGGCCGCAGCCGAGGCCGCCGCGCCGGCGTCGCGAGATCCCCCGGGCAGCGGCGGCGGCAGCGGCGGCAACCTCGGAGAAGAGGTCCATACCAGTCGGCCCAACGGCCAGTCAACGGGTAAGCAGCGGCAGCACGAGCCGCTCCAGAACCCCCAGCAGCCACCAACCCCGCCGCTCCAGCAGCATCAGCGGCAGCGGCAGCATCCGCGGCCAAACGGGACGCGGCGGCCAGGGCCGCCGAGAAGGCCGCAGCGGCCGCAGCAGGCGGAGCGGCCCCAGGGAGGGCCTCGGCGGCCACGGCAACGGCAGCCGCCGAGGCAGCACGGGCGAACTCCGAGGCCGCGGCGCCCGCAGGGCCAGGCGCGAAGGTGGCCCCGAGGCCAGCAGCGGCGGCGCGGGCCGCCGCGTCCGCAGCCGCGCCGCAGGGGGCGGCCGCCGCGAGAGCCACCAGCGCAGGCGCCAGCGGAGCGCCTCGGCAGCCGGCCGCGAGGCCACGCGGCGCGGCGCCAGCAGCCGCAGCAGGGGCCCTGCCTGCAGCCGCACGCCGCTGGCGGCGGCGCAGGGCAGAGCGGGACTCCATGGGCACGGGGGGGGGGGCCGTGACGGGAGGGAACTCCTTCACAGCCCCACCCCAAGCAAGCCCGCGGTCAGGCGACCGCCGGCCCCGCGGCGCCAGCAGCTGCGGCTCCCCTCGTGCCAGAGCGGCTTGAGCCAATGGTTTGAGCCAATGGGGCTATGGACACACACACACACACATGCGCACAGACTGGCACACACACACACACAAACACTCTTTGGCGTCGCGGCCCTGCGCGCAGCGACAGGGCGCACAAAAATCATAACACACACGCACACACAATTCCACGCACACACACAACACCAACGCCAGACAGGGCCCCAATTGGTGTCTTGTCGATCGGGACTTCTTCGGCTCTTCACCAGTGGTGCTCCCGCTGCAGCGTCGGTCGTATTTCAGGATCGGTGCTTTGCTCCAGTCGTGCAGAATGGCGCTCTCGCTCAAGGGCTACATTTCTGGATCCGGTTCATTCCTCGTCGCTGCCATCCCCTCCTCCCCCCGCCTCCGCCTTCTCCTGATCCTCATGCTCCTCCTGCTCCTCCTCCCCATCCTACAATGTACACTAGCATCCCTTCCCGATTGCGCAGCAAACGATCAGCCAAATCCTGCCATTGCTATTTGGAGATCAAGGCCCTCTGAGACCTTCCAGCCTGTGGATAGGAAAGGCCCCAACGCAATGGGAAGAAATGGGTGGGAGTAATAAGATGCCATACGTAATACGTGACGCGAGCGCACCCAGCTTGCCTCTCTCCTGTCTGCTCTCTCCGCTCCTCCTCCTCCTCCTCCTTCCTCCTCCCTCCTCCTCCTCCTCCTCCGCCTCCACCGGTCCCAATTCGAACTTCAAAGGAGTTGTATACTGTCACGACTCCCAACAACCTGCAAGTAGGAAAACATGTTTGACGGTCGTAGGTCCATGGCCAAGTTTGGAAAAGCCAGGCGCGATGGAGGTAAGGTCAAGGTTCACCAAGATTTTGAGTGTTTTAGATCGGTCCTTTAACCAGTGGTTCCATGCCGCTGGGAATGATGAAGCGGACGGCATCACCACGTTTGCTGCCGCAAAGCTTGCCCAACAAGCGGACCGGGAGGCACAGCAGCAGCTAGATCAGAGAGCAAAGTGTTTCCTGAAATATTGTCCCAAGGCCCTCTCTTTGTGGCCTGCAATAGCCCCCAGAGTTGAGGGCAATGGCATAGAGGGCCCAGTCAAAGCAACGAACCCTGCGATCAAAGAAGTGTGGCAAGGCAGAACTAACCTGGGAGTGGCGATTCTAGGCTCTCGTCTCGCTGTGGGCCCCGCCCCTATCCCCGCACCCCCGTTGTTGCTCGTGCTCGTGTCGGGCACCCCAGTGAGCCTGGCAAAAGAACCATCCGCTCTGCTGTCTCTGCCATTCGCGATGTTTCAAAGATCAGACCACGCAAGATAGAGCCAACGAGCCCTGCCCTGGTAATGCTAGTGCCCTGGCCAACCCGGCGGTCATGCCCACTGCCCACGAGTTCCAAGTGAACGTTTTTTCCCCAAACATCATGTGGTGTTGGGTCCTCGTTTTGAAGAGACAGCGCCCCGCGTTCACTCATCCCACTGCCCCCCCTCTTCCTTTCATCATCATCAGCATCATCATCAACAACGTCATGCACACCACTCACACGTTTCGTGGCCCTATAAGGAGCTCCACCGAAGGCCCCGACGGCAGCGCCCGCATGCGGTTCCACCCCCATGTCGGCACACCCCTCACACGTTTCGTGGCCCCATAGAGAGCCCACCGAAGGCCCCAACGGCAGCGCCCGCATGCAGCTCCCTTCACACGCTTCGTGGCCCTATAGGGAGCTTCACCGAAGGCCCCAGTGGCTGCGTTCGCATGCGGTTCCGCCCAACATTTTGGCGCACCCCTCGCACGCTTCGTGGCCAGAGGCGGCACCACCGAAGGCCGCAGCGGCAAGGGCAAACAGCGAGGAAAGGGGGGGAAGGAAGCGGACGCGATCCTCGTGAGGGGCGTGCCGACATGGGCGTCGCGGCGTGCGGGCGCTGCCGTCGGGGTTCCCGGGGAAGCTCCCTGCGGCGGCCTCGCTCAGTGTCACGAGTGTTCAGAATCACGCATACCCGAACCATTCACACGCATATGCATTTAAACTAGGCGTAGCCATGATCGCCTTCATGCAAATATACCACACTCGCACGCAGACTCTTTCGCACTCATACTCACTCGCGCTCAGACTCACCCGCGCTCAGTCTCTCGAAGTTAGAAATATCGTCATCCTTCGTGTTGTGTACCCCGCTACGCAAATCGGCACACCCCTCATACGGTTCGTGGATTCGTGGCCCCATAGGGAGCGCCAGCGAAGACCATGTTCACGATAACGGTACTCACAAGTGCATATGGTTGGGTCCTTCGCCAAGATAACTGTTATTTGCATGTTAAGGGTGTGGAACGCACGCAAGGTGTCCCCTCAAGGGCCTGCATCAGCGATGCCCCCGAACTTGTGTTCCTACGTTTCCGGGAGGTGCCCACAAGCGTCTCCAGGAGGGAAGGCGACCCAAGGCTGGACAGGACAGCCAAGGGGTTTCAAACCCGATTGCCGAAGCGCCCGCATCGCCCCAACCAATGCGAACGCTTTCCGAATCCGTGCGATGGTCCTCCGCCTCCTCTCCCCCCCGTCCTTTTCCTCCTCCTCCTGGTTCTCCTCCCTCCTCCTCCTGCTGCCTTCCCGGCCTCTCCTTGCAATCTGTCTGGCCACCTGCGTGGGGTCCGAGCCGTCAACGTAGAGGCGGGGCGCCAAGCGAGACATGGTAGACACCTGCCGCAGAGAGGCGTTTGCTATGGGAGGACGGGGGATGAAGGGGGAGAGCGAGGAGGAGAAGCAGGAGGAGGAGGAGGAGGAGGAGGAAAAGAGAGGAGTAGAGAAATTAAGAGAAGAGAAGAGAACAGAAGAGAAGAGGAAAGAAGAGGAGAGAAGAGGAAAAGGAGCAGCAGGAGGAGGACAATACTGAGGATGAGGAGAGAAGACCGTTTCTCAGTCGCTTGCGTGCCTAACGCACCTGAGCTGGAGGTGGCGTCCCCAGGGGGGCGGCCCAGGGGTGCGCCTGGAGCTACCCGACTCAAAACTCACCCAAACTCTGCTCCACCCTGCGAAGAAGAGCAAGGAACTCGAGCTGCAACTGCACTCCTTCGCCTGGCCGTCTCCTCTTGCTCGCGCTCCGCGATCAGAATCGGCGCGCAGCCTGGCCCAATCGCAAGGAAAGTCGAGCTGCTCCATAGATCGCGACATCGAGAGTGATGCTGACCGGCGCGCGCATCTTAACCCGAGCTAATCAGGGGCGCCCCAAGCTGCCCCGCCTGGTTTTTAGAGGCGCATCCTAAAACCACGACGCCGCCTGCGACGCCCCCGCTGCGGTCGACGGCGCGGCGAGGCGGGCGCCGCGCGCCGACGCGGCGGGGCCCGGGGCTCCACCGGGACGAGGGCCCCCGGGAAGGGGCGCCGGGGATCTGAAGTGAGGGCGGAGGAGGAGGAGGAGGAGGAGGAGGAGGAGGAGGAGGGGAGGAGGAGGAGGAGGAGGAGGCGGAGGAGGAGGAGGAGGAGGAGGAGAGGAGAGGAGAGGGAGGGAGGAGGAGGAGGAGGAGGAGGAGGAGGATGAGGAGGAGGAGGAGTAGGAGGAGGAGGAGAAGAGGAGGAGGAGGAGGAGGAGAAAGAGAAGGAGGGGGAGGAAGACGAGGAGGAGGAGGAGGAGGAGGAGGAGGAGGAATAGGAGGAGGAGGGGGAGGAGGAGGAGAGCGCCAGCGCCTTGACCGCGGTGAGCCCCTGGGCGCGCCGCAGCCTGCCGGCGGCCACAGCGACGCTCCGGGCCGCTCTGGGAGACGACACCGCCCACGTGGGCGACGAGACACTGGCAGCAACGCAGCACACTCTGGCTACGGCCCCCCTCGCTGCGGCTGCCCGCCTCGCTGCCGACGAAGCGGCCGCGGACCCCCTGGCGGCGGCCGCCCTGCGTTCCGCTGGGGGCCCCGGGGCGGGCGCGCTCCTGCAGGTGCCGACGCTGCCCTGCCACCGACTGACCAACGCGCAGTTCGACATTGCGCTGCGGCACCGGCTGCACCTCGACCTGCCGGGCTGCACAGGCCCCCCGCTGGAGGCGGGCGCAGCGGGGCCGCGACAGCCGAGGCTCTGCCAGCACCGGCACCCGCACGGCGGGATCTGCGGCGAGCCGCTGGACCCCAAGGGGCGGCACGCGCGCGGCTGCGCCGTGGGCGGGTGGCTGGTCCGCCGCCACGACGCGGGCTGCGCGGCTCTCGCGGAGTGGTGCGAGGAGCAGGGGTGCACCGTGCACCGCGAAGTCCTGCTCCCCCACGCTGCGCCCGCGGGCCCCGAGGCGCGGATGGACCTCGTCGTCCACGCCCCGCGCCTTGCTGAGCCGCTCATGGTCGACCTGACCGTGGTGAGCGCGCTCACGCAGGACGCGCTCGGGCTCGGCTCTGCGCGGCGGGACGGCGCGGCGGCGGCGGCTGCGGCGCGGCGCAAGCGGGCCCGCTACCCCGGGGTGGCCGTGGTGCCCTTCGTGGTCGAGGACCACGGCCGCCTGGGCGAGGAGGCGCTGGCCCTGACGCGGCTGCTGGCGCCCGCGCAAGACACGGAGCGCTCGGCGGCCATCCGGCGACTGCACCAGTCGCTCGGGTGCGTCCTCCAGCGCAACGCCGCCGACGCGGTGCTGGCGGCGACGCAAGCGCAGGGCTGGGCCGCCGGCGCCCGGCGCGGGAACCCCGGAGGGGGCTGAGCTGCCTGCTGACGGACCTGCGCTACGGGCGCCCCGCTGCCGCTGGGCAGGCCGCTGACGCCGCGGGCCACGCCCGAGCCGCGCGCGCGCAGGCGCCGAGCTGACGGCGCCGCCCGCCGGGCGGGCGGCGGCGCCGCGCTGGACCGACGGCGGGGCGCGGGCAGGGCGGCGCTGCGGCGGCCGCGCGGAGCTGAGCGCTCGACTGGCAGGGGCGCTGGCGGGCGCGGCGCTGCTGCCGCTGCTGCCCCCGCGGGGGGCGGCGCTGGGGAGACGCGCCGCCGCGGCTGGGGCGGACAGAGCTGGGTGCGCAGCGGCCGCGGGGCCCAAGGCGCCGAGCCACCAGGACCCGACGGCGGCCGGGGGGCGCAGAGCTGCGGACGGCGCCGGGGGCGGGCGACCGGCGCTCGCGCTCGGCCACGCCATGCTGTCCGTCGGCGCCAAGCTCCCGTGTAAGCGAGGTATAGGCCCCGGTCGGCGCACCCCCTCGGCTCTGAGGCTTGCATGCCGCTGAGCGGTGTGCTTGTCCTGGGGTTGGGGGGCTGCGCCGGCTCCCGACCACAGTGCTTCCGGCGCGCGGCAGACCCGCGTCCGCCGGAGGAGGAGGAGGAGGAGGAGGAGGAGGAGGAGGAGGAGGAGGAGGAGGAGGAGGGAGGAGGAGGAGAGGAGGAGGAAGGAGGGGAAGGAGGAGGGAGGAGGAGGAGGAGGAGGGGAGGGGAGGAGGAGGAGGAGAGGAGGAGGAGGAGGAGGGGACGGAGGGGGAGGAAAGAGGAGGAATTGGTAATAGGAGGAGAGAGGAGGGGGGGGAGGAGGGAGGAGGAGGAGGGGAGGAGGAGGAGGGGGAGGAGGACAAGCTAGGTGCGCTCGCGTCATATCTGACGTCCTACCCCTCCCTCCCATCCCTTACCATGGCGCTGATTTTTCTCTATCCGCGGACGCGTGTCGTAGCGGACCTGTGGCTCCGCGCGCGCGTGCGTAGTGGGTGGTGGTGCTGGTGCTGGTGCTGGTGAGTGCTGTGCGTGTGTGCGTGTGGTGTGGTGGTGGTGGTGGTGGTGGTGGTGGTGGTGGTTGGTGGTGGTGGTGGTGGTGGGTTGATGGTGGGGTGGTGGTGGTGCTAGTGGTGGTGGTGCTGGTGCTGGTGGTGTTGGTGGTGTGTGCTGGTGGTGGTGTGGTGGTGGTGGTTGGTGGTGTTGGCGGTGGTGGTGGTGGTTGGTGGTGGTGGTGGTGCGGCGCCGGTGGCGGGCGGCATGGATTGCGCGCGAGCGAGAAAGAGGCCCCGCGCTGGGGCGAGAACGCCATCCTCAACGACGGAGGCCAAACACCGATCCGAAAATGAGGCCACGCTGCAGCGGGAGCACGATTCGGAACGATTCGGGGCAGAAAATGAGGCCGGCGCCTCAGCGAGAGCAGCATTTTGAAAAAAAAAAAAAAAAAAAAAAAAAAAAAAAAAAAAAAAAAAAAAAAAAAAAAAACACAAGCGAAAACCCAACTCCGGGGAATCCTGTGTGTAAAAAAACACAGTACGCGGGGGGGTGCCGAATATCTTCCGGACGCCAATCAGGGGAAGTGGGAGAGTATTTTCATATTGTGTAATTGTGGAGGAGGAGGAGGAGGAGGAGGAGGAGGAGGAGGAAGGAGGAGGAGGAGGAGGAGGAGGAGGGAGAGGAGGAGGAGTTGTTGCTTTGCCCAAACTGGTAAAACGCGACGCCGACCAGGGCGCGGGCGAGCATGCCCTGGCAAACCTGCCACGCATCGCAGCTTCTCTTAGCAGGGCAACGGGCACACGTGTACAAAGAGGAACAGGCACAAGCTGAATCCGTCCTCTGGCCTCCTATTATTGGCTAGCCCCCAATAGCGCCGGAAACGCCGTGCCTCAGGAGGGAAACCAACAAATAGGAAGCAACGGGCAGGACCCCAACATTGGACCAGCGACCGCAGCCCCGCAGGGTGAGGTCGCCCCCTGGCCCCTTCCCCCCAGCCAACAGACGGGGCGGGAGGAGGCCCCAGCAGGGGCGGGGTTGGTTTAGTGCTGGGCCTACCCAGCAAGACAACACGGAGCGGTACCCACCGCCAGAACCTCATCATAACCCGGCAAGCGATATGCCCGCGGCTAGTAGCATTCCAACCAAGGTGGCTGGACGCTGTGCGCCGCGGGCAACCGCCTCCGCAACATCATCGGCAGTGCACCTCATACAGGAGGTGCCACGCGGCGCCCAGGCTGCACCGCTTGGCCGCGGTGGCAGGGACTAAAAAAATACCTTGGCTTGACGGCGGGGAGGAGGAGGAGGAGGAGGAGGAGGAAGAGGAGGAGGAGGACCGGTGCAAACCCAAGAGTCATCGACGATTTGGGAATAAACCCTCTCTCCGAGCTCCCTCCTCAAAGGCCCCTACATTGTAAGCCCTGGGGGGGTCTGCATCTTTCCCGCGAACAAGGAGGCCCTGCTGTCCTGGCGAGGCAGTTTGAAGGCAAATCCCACCAGCCCTTTGGGCGTGAGTGGTTTAGAGAGCTCTCTCTGTTCTCAACCCCCTATCTTCCCCTTCGGGGAGGGGTTTACCCCTCCCCCTACCCCCTCCCCCTGGACCTGGACAGGGATTCCCGGGTGATGTCGGGGGGGTCCATTTCGACTCCTCGGAGGGCCAAAAAACGACGACCCTCACGAGGATTCGGGCCCCAAAGGGGGGAGGCAGTTTGGCGCCTCTGCTCGTCTTTGAAGCAGAAATCATTGATTGTACGAAGGTTTTGGCCCCATTTTGGCCTTCTGAGGGGGCCGCGCTCATCTTCCCTCATAGCAAAATCATTGATTTTACGAAGGTTTTGGGCTCATTTTGTCCTTCTCAGGGGGCAGCTCTCCTTTGCGCTTCTGCGGAGGTCGCAAGAGGCCCCAAGATGGCCCCAAGAGGCCCCCAGGAGGCTCCCAAGAGGCCTCCAAGAGGCCCCCCAGAGGCCCCCAAGCGGCCCCAAGAGGCCCCCAAGAGGCCCCCAAGAGGCCCCCAAGAGGCCCCACGAGGCCCCAAGAGGCCCCCAAGAGGC